AATTGTGAGAATTGAAGTCTAAAACACCTGGGGGGACAAAGTTTGCCCATGCTTGCTCTATCAGATGTCCAGGGTGGGAATCCTGTGGCCCTCCAGATGATGATGAGCTGCAGCAACAAGCATTCCTTATAATTGCTTATTCTTGCTAAAGCTCCTGAGACTTGAAGTCCAGCAACGTTCAGAAGACCACATTATTATTATTATTATTATTATTATTATTATTATTATTATTAAACTTTATTTGTACCCCGCTAGCATCTCCCGAAGGACTCGATGCGGCTTACAAAGGCCAAGGCCTCAACACAACCACAGACAATAACAATAAAATGCAAAGCAAATTAAAAACATAAGCAATAACAAAAACAAAGCATTACACTATTATGCAATAAAACCAGGGCCGGGCCAATGAAGGGTACAGGTTAAAAAGTGCTGAGTGTGAGAGGTGATATGTTGGGATTCTGGGCAAGTGCAATGTGCAGAGAGTCTTAAACTCTAATAAAGTGCTTCTGGGACGTAGTGCTGGAGGTTATCCTATTCTGGAAAGGCACATTGGAATAGCCAGGTCTTCAAGTTCTTCCTAAAGACTGCCAACGTGGGTGCTAGTCTAATGTCTTTGGGGAGGGTGTTCCAAAGTCGGGGGGCAACCACAGAGAAGGCCCTGTCTCTCGTCCCCACCAAACGCGACGCAGGTGGAATCGTGAGCAGGGCCTCTCCAGATGAACGAAGGGAGCGGGTGGGTTCATATACGGAGATGCGGTCACATTATTCCATAGTGTGATTCTAAATTCATAAAACCATAGAACAGTGTGGGTTCTTTTTTACTTTTTTTCATTTGCAAGTGGAGGGCTATGATTTCCTTTCACCCCCTTTTTCTGGTATCAAAGCCTTGTGAGTACAAGAGGGTCTAAGTTCCATTGACATTAATATACTTTATTATTATTATTATTATTATTATTATTAAACTTTATTTACAACCTGCCACCATCTCCCCTCAGGGACTCAGGGCGGCTAACATGAAGCCAAGCCTGACAAATACAATAAACTAGAAAAAAATACATACAGCAAATAATAACTCAAATAAAATACAAAAAATAAAAGAAAAAATAACACAGTGGATACAACATCAGGTATAGGGTAAGATAAGAAATTAAAAACAGGGAGTTGATCAAGGTGGGCTGGGCCCAATGCAAAGATATAAACAGGGGACATTGGGTGAGATAGGAAAATTGAGTAGTTTATCTGGTGGGAGAAACGGATGAGACAGTCTATGGGGTTTACTTTTCCTGTTAAGGGATGAGGTAAAGTGCATCGAGAGGACAAGTTTAAGTTGGGACAGTCATGGTCTGGGGATTTCGTCAAAAGCAAGGCAGAACAGCCAAATTTTTAAGCTTTTCCTAAAGGATGACAAAGTGCGTACTTGCCTAATCTCTCCAGGTAGTGAATTTCAAAGCCTGGGGCCACCACAGAGAAGGCTCTGTCTCTCATCCCCACAAGCCGTACTTGCGTACTCCTGAGTAGCCACATATACACAAATGTATCCATGAGCAACTGTTCCACTGACATCAGTGCAGATGAGTTCTGGTTTGGTGTTAAGTTCCACTGAAGACAGTAGGACTTACATCTGAGAAGGCTTGTTTTGAATTATACTGTTGAAAGCTTCAACAGGCTCAGACTCATTGAAAAGCAGGTCTTTAGAAGTGAAAAGAAAGGAACTTGTTATTTTAAATGAGAACATTTACCCCAGCCTGCCTGCTTCGTAGCACACCCACTGGGTCATAACATAGAAGTATTCATGCTCCTCACCACTCCCATTTTGAGACAACTAAAAGCATGCATACTTGGTAGAGGTGATATGTTGCAGGAATAAAGAGAGCTTTTCTTATTATTGATATGAATTGCTACAATAGGGTTCTTTTTTTGTTAAAGAATACTTGCTAACCATCTTTGTGAAATTCAACCACAGTCTATTGTCTGTTTTTTGAGTTGTTTGCCTCTAGGGATGTCTATAGTGATCTCTCTATTCACTGAAGTGTTTGAATCAATGGATTAAGAGTTGAAAGACATTCTGAATCTCAGTTAGAGAGGACCTCTGACAAATCATTTAGATCAACTCTAAACCCACAATAAAATATAGTGACAAATGCATTTCAGATGAGTATGTATACTGTCAAGTTGTCCATATTAGCTGGGGTTAGGGGTACAGGACCCTGCGAAAGTGAAAAACCACGAATAACAAAACAGCTCACAACCTCTGAAAATGCCTGCCATAGATGTGGGAGAAACATCAGGAGAGATTGCTTCTGGAGCATGGCCATACAGCCTGGAAAGCTCACAGCAACCCCACAAAATTGCTATTCTTTTTAGTTGAGGGAACACACCTCTAGGATTTTTTAGGTCTTCCAACATGACCTAAACTTTTCAAACTATAGGTCCCCAGGTGTTTTGGCCTACAACTCCCAGAAATCCCAGCCAGTTTACCAGCTGTTAGGATTTCAGGGAGTTGAAGGCCAAAACATCTGGGGACCCACAGGTTGAGAAACACTTCTCTATGGCCTGCTGGAAGCTAACCACCAAATTGCACTGGAAGGTAACTGATATTCTATGTAAGGTGTCTGTCTAGAAATCTTTAGGGCCTATAGCATGACTGGAAGAAGCTGGGCATAGAGTCAAACAAAAGGACCTGGAGATTCCTAGACAAAACATTTTATTCAAAGTTGTGGATGATCAAATCAATTAAAATAAAAACAGCAAATATAGTGGGACTACTATATATAAACCATTTTAAAAAAGCACTGTCTTCCACTGAGTATGACCACTGGCTCATTTAGCTTACCACTTCATCACACTAGAGAAAAAATCTACTTAAAATCCAGTTTCTGCCTCCTGCAAAATTCTGGGGTCTATAGTTTAGTGAAGCTGTTAAAGGCTCCTCCCTAAACTACAAACCCCAGAATTCTGCAGGAGGCAGAAACTGAATTTTAAGTGGATTTTTCAATCTAGTGTGATGTATAGTATTGTCTCTCTTAACAGGTTGAGTATCGTTGGGTTTTTAATTGGAAGGAGGCTGTTCAAGGCTTGATTGGAGTTGCAAGGATGCTTCTTGGTGCTTCTACCTTGAAGCTACAACCTTCCACAAAATAGTGCAGGTCAGAAGAATCGGAGAAGCATTTGGGTGTAGATGTTGCCCATGTGTACTGTATTCATTTAAATGGAATATGTTTTTTTAATATTGATCCACATGCAGATTTCCATCTATATTCTATACCAATTAACCCAGTGCATATCAATATTTGGAATAGTAATACTAGACTGCAAAATCCACAGACATATACGGTTTGACTCAGACTTTGTCTATACTGGACAGTAAACCTGGGGCCAATCCAGAGAAGAAATACACTGGGCTGGCTCCAAGATGACATATGCACTCTCTTGAACCCACTGTGGGGTTGGGTGAAAGTATATATTGTCATCCGATCTGAGAAGATATTGTCCCCGCTAGATCATCACCTCACTGTCCATGTCGCCATTGCAACTCCCAGATGCCTGCAGAGCTCAATAGAACCAGAAAGAAGGAGGGAGCCAATCTCCCCACCTTTCAAGTTACATGGGCACTTCTACTAATGTCACAACAGAGTATCTGCAATGGCCAGCAGCTCACATGGAACTCTGTAGCCATCTTGGAATTATGATGGCAGTGACATGGAGACAAACTGTCCCCCTTGTCCTGCACTGTTTAGATAGCAGACTTTCTGTATTCAGCTGTTCACACTGTCCTGAAGCTGCAGGATTATTCTGGAGTTTTAAGCAAACTCCGGAGCATTCCTCTACCATTCCTAAAGTAAGGCTAAACCATCAGGCTAGCCCCCTCCCTGTTGATATTCCGCAGGAAGTTAAAGACCTGGCTATTTAAGAAGGCTTTTGACCAAGAAGTGCAATGACTGGTAATTTGACCATAGGAATGGAACAACGGAAATGATATTGAATTGTGGGTTGACGATGAGACGATTCGGAATGTAGTGGAAATTTTGTAGTAATGTTGATGTTTTGATGTTTTTCTGATAATGATGTGGATTATTTTGCACTATGTTTTGTAATTTGCACTTGTTTTTTCATGTTGTACACCGCAATGAGTCGCCCTTAAAGGACTGAGAATTGCGGTATATAAGCGTAGTAAATAAATAAATAAATTAATAAATTAACCTGATTTAACCTGTGTTCCTTACATCATGGAGACAGTTAGGAGCAAACATATGGTGAGTCTTGTTTATAATGTCTGTGTAGATGAGCCCTCAGTCAGAATTTTGAATGATACCGCTTTTGAACCATAAGTTTGTAAATATGAAGTAGTGGTAAACTTGCCCAGTGCCTTTTTCACTGAATCTTTAATTCTCAGGTAACTGAAGCCAAACTAAAACTGCTGCATTTTTCCATTCCCAAAGGAGGAGTGTGGGTTCTGACTTACTTTCTCCCTCTTGTTCCATTACCACATCGTTCTGAATAAAGGAAAGAAGGAACACGTTTCATTGACATCAAAACAGTTTGATTCTGAGCAGCAAATTCACCATTGTAAACATTATGAATGGGCATGGCATTCAAGAGGATTACATGGTCATTCAAAAGGATAATCTTTTATTAAAACAGGAGGTAAAAACCCTCAAAATGGTAACAGGATTTAAAAAAAACGAAATGCATCTAGAACCTGCTTGTATGTAACTCTGAATATTCATCATGGAGATTATACATGTTTTCTGCCTTTTGGCAGAGGCAAACAATTTCATGTTGGAGTGTTGCTGTCAACTGACTTGTGCATATGTCTGTAAATGTGTCGTGTATTAACACTATTTTAATTATGTAAATGTTTTTTTCAACTCTGCTTTTTTGCAATGTCCTTTGTCTGACAGCCAATGATACTGAGAGTACTGAAAGATCTGGAACCAAAAGCAATCACATATGCAAGCATGGTGAGAGTGCTTAATTCACTTTTGATTCTCCATATTCAGGCATGTATCGATGCGGTCCTGCTTCTGTTCAAGCCATCAAACACGGCCATGTCTGCTTCCCATTTGATACACCTTTTGTTTTTGCAGAGGTATGTGAAAAATACTCTTCCTCAAATGGTCTCAGGCAGATGCATGATTGAGAAAATAACATGTGTACTTTTAACATAAACCTAAGGCGCATCAAATTAAATTACATTTATTTCATCAGTTTGTGTTCCATCTTCAAAGTGAAATCATTTTCAAGTTAAAACATAATTTAATACAATTTTGAGCACTATTGTTGTTCCTATTAATACTACTAATATGTACTACTTCAAATGTGCAGTACAGCTCCCATATCTATGGGAGATATGTTTCAAGACCTCCTGCAGATACCTGTAACCATTGATAACACTATGTAACACATTTTTCCCTGGGTTATAAATGTCATTTCTTAATTAGTTCTATCATAAAAATATGGGAAAAGTTTATTAAACTGCAAAAACTTTTTTTGCGGAACATCCTGCAGCACATTTTGCTGTAGTTTTTTTCAATGAATATCTCGAGTCTCAACTAATTCAACACAGTTTGTGGCAGCCACAAAAATGAAGTGTCTGGAGTAAAAAAAAACTACTTTCAAAGTAAGTACCACACAATTAAACAGGAAAAAACACTTTCAAACCAGGAACATGCTTTTTTTTCCCCAAATTTCGTTACGTGGTGTAATAGAAAGGCCTAAATTTTGACTGTACTTGATCTGGAAGCATACCATAGAATCAATATGTTTTAGAACTTGGGTAAGTGAAACTATGGGCATTGAATCTGTAGATAAGAGGGTGGTTGTGTATATAATTCAGATTTCTTACTGTAATGTATATGTGTACATTGATTTGCAGTTTTACATAACTTCTTTGTTGTGGGAAGGGCTGCAGACTATGTGATCAGGACCTAAGACTCCATTTTAATTTGTTGAAGCCATTAGACTCTTAGAGAGAGTAGACACCATATGTTTTTAGAAGTCAGTGTGTGTTTGCATCTGAAGCAGTGTATTTAGTTTAGAATTCAATGCAGGAACACTGTGGTTCTCAACCTGGGGTCCCCAGATGTTTTTGGCCTTCAACTCCCAGAAATCCTAACAGCTGGTAAACTGACTGGGATTTCTGGGAATTGTAGGCCAAAAATATCTGGGGACTCCAGGTTGAGAACCACTGGTTAAACTATTAGACTCTCAAAACAGAAAGATGCTTTGGATGATGGACTATTAATTCAAAGGATGATGCCCTATGTTACCTACACAGAGAAACTACTTAAAATTATATTGTAACTGGATACATAAGCAAAGTGTCTATATGCTGTATACATGAAGTTTTGTGAGTACACCAACTCTGTTACTTTTGAGGAAGAGTGTTTATTTTGTCTCTTGAGAGCATGATTTAAAGACAAACATATTTTAAGGGAGAGTAGATGTTTTGCAGCAACTAAAGAAACACTTCTGAAACTCTGCTGAATATATGTTTTTGCACATTGGCATGTCTTTGTCCCTAACAGTTCAAAGACATACCTTGTTGTTGTTCATTCGTTCAGTCGTCTCCGACTCTTCGTGACCTCATGGACCAGTCCATGCCAGAGCTCCCTGTCGGCCGTCACCACCCCCAGCTCCTTCAAGGTCAGTCCAGTCACTTCAAGGATGCCATCCATCCATCTTGCCCTTGGTCGGCCCCTCTTCCTTTTGCCTTCCATTTCCCCAACATAATTGTCTTCTCTAGGCTTTGCTGTCTCCTCATGATGTGGCCACAGCTCCTTCAAGGTTAGTCCAGTCACGTCAAGGATCCCATCCATCCATCTTGCCCTTCTCTAGGCTTTGCTGTCTCCTCATGATGTGGCCAAAGTACTTCAACTTTGTCTCTAGTATCCTTCCCTCCAGTGAGCAGTCGGGCTTTATTTCCTGGAGGATGGACTGGTTGGATCTTCTCGCAGTCCAAGGCACTCTCAGAACTTTCCTCCAACACCACAGCTCAAAAGCATCGATCTTCCTTCACTCAGCCTTCCCTAAGGTCCAGCTCTCACATCCGTAGGTGACTACAGGGAATACCATGGCTTTGACTAGGCGGATCTTTGTTGCCAGTCTGATGTCTCTACTTTTTACTATTTTATCGAGATTGGACATTGCTCTCCTCCCAAGAAGTAAGCGTCTTCTGATTTCCTGGCCACAGTCTGCATCTGCAGTAATCTTTGCGCCTAGAAATACAAAGTCTGTCACGGCCTCCACATTTTCTCCCTCTATTTCCCAGTTGTCAATCATTCTTGTTGAAAGACATACCTAGGTACATCAGTTTAAAGACATACCTAGGTATATCAGTTTAACAGCTGAGAGACCTAGTTGCCTTGCATGGATGCTAGTGAACATCATTTTTCAAAAGGTTGTGACTTCTAACAGGGTCATAACTTTTGACCAGTAGTTTTCAAAAAGGTTATGAATCCCATTTCCCAAATGATTATGGAGATTCATATTTTCCAAAAGATGCCACCTTTTAGCGCTTGGAATTTTGACTCCCAAATTCCCCCAAGCTAGAATGACCAGGAATTGTGGTCCAGAAAGGCTGCTCTTTACAAGCTCTTCAGTGTTCAGATAGTGGACCATCTGTAGAATAATGGGCTTCTCCTCTGTGTATTAGGGATGTAAAGAACAGAGATGTTCTGTTGGGAAAATAGATATCTCAAAACACCTTGCTGAGAAAATAGCCAACAGCAAGATTTTTAAACATAAAGATTTTTAAACATTTTGTGAAAAATGTATTTGTGCAAAAAATCATTTGGTGTAATGGAACCTGGAGTCTAGAGGGACTGTAGTTTGGAAAAACAGCCTCAGGTAGTTGTGTAAGGTCCCAGACCCACAGATTACTGAATCCTGCTCTAAAGGTTTGCACCTCATATGTGTAGAAGAGTAAGAAACGTGCAATTTCAGAGGAGTCTGCTACCAAATTATGATAGAAGCTCAGATCAATGCAAAGGTTTTTGCAGTCTGCTCTCACTTCTATAGTGTCTCAGTATGAGGACTGATAGAGCAACCCACTTATTCAAAGATCCAGCAAAAGTACCTGCTAATGGGAGACATTTAGAGGTTAGAGAGTAGCAAATGACACAGTGCAGTATTAGCGAATTTCCCCTTTCATTGTGTGCATTGGGAGCTCATAGGAGCTTCTACTTTTTATTATTTTGGTATGTAGGCTTTGCAACACAATAAAATTACCAATCTTCAGATTCTTGAAATACTCAACAAGTGCTGATGCTTTATGTCTCTCTTTTTCTCTTTTTTCCAGGTAAACAGCGATGTTGTATACTCAAAAGCAATGCAGAATGGTGTTAAACTCGTTCAACATGTTGACAAGACCCAGATTGGTAGATTAATTGTGACAAAAGAAGAAGGTACAGATAAGGTGAAGATCATCACTGAGCAATACAAATTCCAAGAAGGTAATTCCAAGGCTCAATTCAGCATGGAACTTGATTTATCTAAGTCTATGTATCCACAGAGAAACCTTCCTCCTTGCGATCAACTTCTTTCAGTAACCAGTTTTGAACAATATTATCTCATTTTAATAAATTGTGACATGTAGAATAATGCAGAATAATCACAGGATGTCTTAAACCTACACCTGTTGATAAACTCTAAAAGCTAGCTGGCACTGCACCCCCACCACCACCACCTCCCACCCATGTGTGATGGGAAGTTGCTGCTAAATGTGAGAGAAATAAAGTTGAACACTGTGAAAGCCATCCACTACATGGCTACCAGCCTCCTCCCAGTAGACTCAAATAAAGGGAAAGCTTTATGAGAACTACCACTCCTCTTGGCATCCCCCCAGCAACATCAAGGGTATCCCTCTGGGCAGCTAAACCAGGAAATCCCAACTGGATGTCCCCCCATGAGGGTCTTCCTCCAGGGGCAAACCAAGAATGGGCAACTTGGAAATCCCTGAACAGACTCAGAAGTGGAGTGAACAGATCAAAAGACAACCTGGCAAAATGGCACTTCACCTTGTGTGACTGTTGAGCAAAACAGACAACTTCACATCTGTATGCTTGTCCACTGTGCCCTGCCTCATGTACAGAGGAAGAATTGTTGGAGGCTACAGACAATGCCATTGCTGTTGCCCGTTTTTGGTCAAAAGATATTTAGCTGCCTGCGCTCCTTCTATTTTTATCCGTTTTATACTAATTTATGCAATGCTTTTGATATGAAATAAAATAAATAAATAAATAAATTGAGACAGGAAAAAGTCCTTTTAGCATGACATACAGTTTTTATATGTCGCCATCCTAAAAATATTTAATTAACTATAGTTTCTGATTTCACCCAAACCAGAAAACCATGTTAAGAGCTTTGGAACAAGACAATATTTGGACTCATGCCTGAACATCTTTGTTTGTTCTGAAGCTATTAACTATTGATTCCAAGTTTGTTAAAAATGGAAACTAGTTCATTTGCAGAAAACTTCTTACATTATACACATGTTTGCACAGACTGGAGAATAAAAGGCTTCCTTATTATTATCTTATTAAGCAGAAAGATGATCATTAATACTAGCTGAGTATATAGTTAGTGTTTCAATGCTGAAATAGAAACAAATTGAATCCTTCCCCTTTGTACAAAGTACAAAGTTAGTTTTAGCTGACTGATTATTATTAATTATATTTAGTTTTGAGCTTTCCTTCATGTTCTTTTCCAATGAAGCAGCTCTCCCTTCATGCTCAGTCTGTGGGCTACTTGAGTTCCTCCATTTTATCTTTACAAACCTTGTGAGATAGACTGGTCCATAAGACAATGGCCAACAGTTATCTGAAACTGTGCCTTTCCAGTCCTTGTCAAACTTATTAATCACAACATTGACTGCAAGGAGGCATTGGAACAGATGTTAGACAATATATGATATATCTCTTGGGGTCAGATTTAACTTGATAGCTAAATATTCTTGCATTCTTTCTTGCTATCTCTTATTTCTAATGCCCCCTCCTAAAATTATCTTCTCTCATTAAAACTGTTAAACTTATACTCTTAATTCTAATTCCCAGTGAGGCTGTGATCTGAGTGCAAATAACTGCATTTCTCCTTATTTATTTCCCACTATTCTCACTTTTTTCTTTTTTTCCAGTTCACTGTATCTTCTTTTCTGCTGAAAATTTCAAAGCAATTTCCAAAGTATCTGTGTAAAGTTCCATGCATGTAGATGGCAAAATGCAAATTAAAGCACAGGCATTTTTTGCACCTGAAGTCTTTCTATATCAACATACAAAGATACTCTCAGTAGTGCATCAAGCATTATTGCCAACCCACTGTCTACTTTCACAAGTCATGCTAAACCAGTAGTTCTCAACCTGTGGGTGTCCAGGTGTTTTGGCCTACAACTCCCAGAAATCCCAGCCAGTTTACCAGCTGTTAGGATTTCTGAGAGTTGGAGCCCAAAACATCTGGGGACCCACAGGCTGAGAACCACTGTGCTAAACCATGGTTAAGCACAGTGGGGTTTGGGGGGGGGGGGCTTCAGACTATAACTCCTTGAACTCCATAGTCGGGTCAAAAGATTACTTTTCTAAGTCCTTTAACATGAGATATATGAACCTCAGGATATTACCAGCCATCTCCTGAGAAAAAGGCTTTGGAAGGTTATACTTTTAGTTAACCACATGTACTCTGGGCTAGAACTGGATTAATTCTTACAAAATTGGTTTGGAAACCATGTTTTAAGATTTTTCTGTCTGGATTTAACCATTGCTATTGCTGTTACATGTTGTCAAGTCAACTGTGATATGTGGCAGCCCTATCTCAGAGTTTTCATGGCACAATTTTGTCAAGAGTAGAATTGCTTTCCTCTGAGAATGAAAGAAAATGATTTGTCCAAGGTTATCCAATAGGTTTCTGTGAAAAATCCTGTGCTCTTGAAGAAGCCCAACACTCAAACCAATATGCCATCTTTTTGTTTTCCAGGAACAGAGGAAGAAAGACTTGCCCTGGAGACAGCCCTGATGTATGGTGTTAAAAAAAACATTCCCCAGGATGTCGTACCCACTTTGGAGGTTGACATGGACTTTGTGGTGGAAGACCCGACCCTTGGCAGTGATTTCAATGTCACAATTACTTTCCAAAACAATACCCAGAGCCGTTACACTGCAACATCATATCTTTCTGGCAACATTGTATTTTATACTGGTGTCTCAAAGAATGAATTCAAGAACCACAGTTTCAATGTGACACTGGAACCGATGAAAGGTAAATTATAAATATATTTCCATCTCTCCTATAGTATCATTTATTAAAATGCCTAACTTCATTACTTCTTGAAGGATAATGATAGATAAGGAGATAATAAGGAATTTTCCTTCAAATTAAAGTACTTGTTCTGTTTAGAGGAGTGCTTCCCAACCTTTGGTTTTCCAATTGTTTTGGACTTCATTTCCCAGAAATCCCAGCCATTTTACCAACTGTTAGGGATTGTGGGAGCTGAAGTCCACAATACCTGGAGGACCAAAGGTTGGGAACTGATTTAGAGCTTGCAAAGCAACATGTGAAGGGGTGCCACTAATGACACATTGTGCCAGTTCCAAAGACTTGTGGTATCCCTCCAGTGGTGGCCATCAAATCGGGGTCCTTGCTTTGTGTGTGTCCTTATGGCATGTTTGGGACCTCTGTTCTCTTAAAATAATAATAATTGACAGGTCTGCTCAGTTATGCAATATTTTGTATTATAAAAAACAATCAACAAAGCACAAAAGAGTGGGTGCAGTAGTACAGTGGCAGAAACAAAACAGACAATGACTAGTGGTAAAGAAAAAGTCTTCACCAGGTACTTGAAGGTAGCAATGGGGATACCAATTAGGTCTCCCTGAGGAGGGTGGACTAAAGATTGAAGAGCTCTAGAGAGAGAGACAATCTCCTTTCCCTTAAAGCAGGGAGAAACTAAGAAGATGATGGTTGAATCAAATAGGAAGTTCAGATGATCAAAATGAATGGTGCTCCTTCAGAGATGATGGACCCTGACTATTTTGGCTTCATACGTTAGAGTCATGAGGACCAATTTCAGATTCAAAATGCTTTCTCATCCTCTCCCCCTATACATCACACACTATGGAACCTAGTATGCCACAACAGGCTTCAGGATTACCAACTCTTGTGGGAGTTACCTGATATTTCAAATATCCCACAATCCCTGAAATATCATCCCTCTGTGATATTACATCAAATTTTAAAAGGTAAGTAGCTTAAAGCCTCTCACTGCTATATAAACCTGACCATAGTAGTGAATGGGCAGTAGGATGTGAAAACAGATGGTTTCCCTCTCATTGCAATTCTCTAAATTCCACTTGCTTTCTTGCTCCATCCTTTTTTGTTTCACATCGCAACTTTCTTTTCTTTTCACATTGCAGTTCACATGCATTTTCTGCTCACATTCCCTAATTTCTTTATACATTGTCCCTAATGTATGCCTCATCAATTAAATTGCATTTTTGCCCATTTTTCAGCTATACATTTCTTTTTAGCTATTTGCATATTTAAAATGAATGAATTGTTCAATGGGAATCTAATTTCTCACTGTAAGCCTCCCAGATCTAAGGACTTCTGGGACAAGGTGCACTTGACATTCAGTGAGTCTCTGAAGGCATGAAATGGATGTTTCTGTGCAGAACTGAGGTTTGGTTAATTTGTTCCATCCTTTGCAAGCAGGCAGACAGGTAATCCCAGTCACATACCAAACAATAGCAATGAGCTCTGCCAGTTGGGTCCACATACGCTACGTTAGAATGAAGGGTGCTAAGAACTATGAGTCACATCTGAAAACAAACAGAAACCTTTTTTTTACACAGGCAAAGTATATTTATTTGCATCTTATTTTAAAAAGGAAAATAGAAGGGCTCAAATAATAACAGCCACTCTACTGGCAGCTGGCAAGAAAAGTGGCAAATATCTTGAAGATTTTTGAGGTGATAATTCCTCTTTATGAAATTTTGCTGGTCTGGTCAATAAAATAAAGTAATATTCACATATTGCAAAAGCTATATCAGCACGGTGTCTGTTTTGGAGCTTTTGAAGGAAAATGACATTTTATTCAAAGTATGAAGTACATCCCCTACTTTGAAGGGCCCCTATGATACTAGAAAAATCACAAATAATTTTTTTTTTAATCTGACAGAACACCTCTTTTGCTGAAAGTTGGCCATAGAGTCACCCTGAAGGACCTGGCGATCCAAGGTGCATCTACGGTTTTCCATCCTTTTAACTGCCATAGCTGAATGCTATTGAATTATGGGAGTTGCAGTTTGGTGAAACACCAGCACTTTTTGACAGAGAAGGTTAAAGACCTTGAGTCAGAATCAGGTAGATCTTGGAGTTAAATCAAGCTCACAACAATAAAACGCTGTAGACAAAAGGTTTATTCCTTCTTTCCACAATTCTAAAAAGACAGTTCTAAGGTTTTCCCACTCAAACCTTCTGTATATATCAGCCCCGACTCCCATCTACCCCCTAGTGCCCAAACACTGTGGTGACAGCCTGTTAACTACAGTTTCAATTTCCCTCATAAAACAGATGTCTTATTTACGCTACCTTCTCCAACTGTACCCAGCCTCCCTTCCCCCTACCCCCCTTCTTTATGGCAGAGAACGAAGCAGCCTGACACCCTGTAAAACTACAACTCCCAGAATTCAATAGCATTCACCACTGCAGTTCAAGTGCTGCCAAAGTGAATTCATTGTACAATGTAGATGTGCCCTCCTAGAGAGAATATATTAAACAAACCGCTGAATAATCAAATCTGTAAAAGCAAAACCTACACATGTGGAGGGCTACGTGTACCTATCTACCATTTTTATTAATACTCAGATTGCCATCCTGTTTGTGTAGCAATAAAATGAGAATGTTTAACTGGAAGCAATTCCAACTTTCCAGTTTCAAACTATTTGGAGAGAGATTTCAAGATAATGCCCTGTTGATTGTTGAACTATATAAAGAAGACAAAAACTGTTCCGCCTCTTAATATTGGGTCAAATGCAAGTCTCTGCTAAAAGCATTATTTGACTACTAATTGATCTAATCAATTGATGGAAGCTTTCCAGCTTCACTTATGGCACTTATAGAAGATGATTGAGCATGCCACAGCTCAGCACTGAATTTATTTTATTTTATTTTGGGCTGACCTTATAGAACATGATAGGACATCAGGGAGGTGGCACCATAAAGATATCAGGCTCAATCTCTCCCAGCTTTCCAGCTTTGCTTGTGTGTATCCTGTTAACATTGTATCCACATACTTAAATTCTGCATGCAACAGGACAGAGCTGTAAATTCACCCCATGATTCAATGGGTGGCACATATTTCATGCCTTGGGGTGCCATTTGTTTGGAAAGTAACCAAAATAGTAAAAGGTTTAGAAGATAAGCCCTATGAAGAGCGTTTTAGGGAGCTGGGTGTGTTTAGCTTGGGGAAAAGAAGGCTGACAGGGGATATGATGGCCATTTTTCAATATTTGAAAGAATGAAGTATTCAAAGAAGGAGCAGGCATGCTTTTTGTCATTTTAGGGACTAGGACACAGAGTGTTGGATCCAACTACCTAAACCAATTATTCCCAACCTTCTTTTGACTAGGGGCCACTTAACCAGGTACCACTCTCCAACATTAGTACCAAAAGGGTTATGAATCAGTTTTTGGTCGACTTTAGATTCGGTTTGGTTATTTGGGATGCTGAATCAGAAAATTGTATTGGCTCTAGTTTCCGATAAAGAACATGTGCCATCCTGTAGTCACCATTTGCTCACCCAGAGAAAACCATATTTAACAAGCTTTGACACTATAAGAGGGTTTCACAAGACTAGTCGCTCTCATTACAATGGTGTAGTAACAGTGAGGCTGCAAACCATATTTTAGTTCTTGTGGACCAATGGTGGTCCACGGACCACAGGTTGGGAACCATTGACCTAAATATTAGGAAGAATTTCCTGTGGGCAAGAGCTGTGTGACAGCAGAAAGTGCTGCCTCAGGGTGTTGTTGTTGTTGTTGTTGTTATTATTATTATTATTATTATTATTATTATTATTATTATTATTTAATACATTTCTATCCTGCCCTTTTCCCCACAAGGGGACTCAGAGCAGCCTCATATAGGCATCAACAATGTTTTCCTTTGCATGCTTCTCTCATAAAATCGCAATTATGTACACTTTCTCTAAATATACTCACTTTTGTACACACTGTCCCTTTATGTGCACATTCTTGCACATCTTTTGGGTCAGAGAACTACGCCAAAATATACAGAGCAGTGCAAACACCAAAAGATATTTGCATTTGTAAATTGAACAAGATCTTCTGTATCCCTAGTGCCCATTTCCTTCCTCACATGCACACTCACACTTTGTACACACATAGATCAGATGTCTAAGTAGGTTCTAGAATTTGCTGTTTTAGTGACATAGCAAAAACTGTGTGCGCGTTCAATTATCTTTTAGAGATGATAGATGGCTGTGTTATGATTACAATTTTGTTGGAGAGGCTGTGCTAGTGGCAGGGGGGGGGGGAGTGAAACAGATTTCTAAACAGAAATGGAGCATGTGATCGGCTAGATCATGATAAAAGGGATGTGGAGGTTGAAAACAACTCTTGAAGATTTGAATATTTGAAGAGTCTTCAAAGTGGCTACCAATTCTACTCAGTTAAATTTAGCTTGCAAGAATGGTCACCTGCCCAGTGTGGGGTTATTTTTTTATTTCATGCATTTCTACCCCACCCTTCTCCCCCCAAAGGGGGACTCATATTTGAGGGAAGCATTCTTTATTAGAATGCCAGTATTTGTAAAGGAAGTGGGAGTTGTCCATTTTTATATATATTTAGCCACTTTAAAAAAAGAAACAACTGAATGGACTAAAGGGGCAACCTCTTGTAGCAAGCACAATTTTTAAAAACATCTTGTAGCATGGTAAGGATTTATATGTATTTTCCCAGCTTAGGTTTTCATCCACAGTTGCAGTTCAAGGGGTGGTTTAAAGAAGAGGTGCTTGCTTAACTGGTGTCAAGGAAATTCTTGTGACTACTTATTAGGGAATTCTCCCAAAAATAGCAGAGCATCCAAAAATACAAACAGGAAATTTAATTGAACAATCAGCTCACAGCAAGCAGAAATGTGAAATGATGTGTGGCTGCAAAAGAATTTTGAGCCTAGCAGGCAAAAAATGCAGAGTTCAATCTTTAAAGTTACCAAAAGGTTTATTTACAAATAAGAAC